TGTCCCTTCGATGGTGTTCACGACTTTCAATTCACTTTGTTGGGATACCAATTTTATTCAACGCAGACCACAAGAAACACTTCGTACGAAAGGAGAGAAGAGAGGAATAATTCATAGGATGCTTCCTAGCCTCTTGTATATTGGATGTGGACATCAGAAACAAATCTAAAAGATTATACTCCACACTTTGTTCTTGTACGGGGAGATCGGTAACCTAGACTATGATATCAATTTTCCATGAACCGAACTATAGGGCCGTGTGGGCACCCACTCTAACACCTATGTAGGGGGACCCTCATACCCCAAAAGTTAAACATAGGGAAAATTTAAGAAAATTAAAGACAATTATGATAGCATCCCTATCCTTAAACAAACTTTTAGTTTAAACTTCTAAAGAAATTAACAACTCCCAAGGATCTAGTCTAAACAGGTAAAAGAACTACAAAGAGTAAAAGTTGGACAAACAAAAAAGACACGGCTCCTACCATGAGGAAGGAAGAGTAGAAGCTTCTAGACAATTTCTTGTTCTTCACCTAATGAAACATCGCCAATCTTCCATCTAGCCTATGTCACAAAGACATAGCTAGAGTAGTATCGGTACAACCGCTCGTAATGGTAGGAATCATCGGTCAACCCGACTCCCACCTAACAATATAATATTAGGAATAAATTATAAGATTATGGTATAAAACCACTCGTTTTTACAGCTTTTCCCTCTCTTAAGACACCTTCATTTTACCCAATGCTTCTAACACTAAAAATTTTCTCCTCAACTAACACTCCTGATTTTATTAGATCATAGCCTAAAAAAACTAACCCCATCGAATATTCTCAGGTACTACCTCCTTTCTTTCTTCTAATTGATCGCTTCATACCCTTAATTTCTCATCACCTTGCCTAACTAAGGTTATATAATTTCATTACCTCAAGATCTAACCCTAGAGCACTCTCTTTTGGTACTTACCCAAATGAACAACCATTACTATCCACCACTCGCTCCTTGAACACCCTGATCCTTCACTATTACCCAACAAGTACAACATTATATAACAAGTCCACTCCACCACATATTCACATACATACACATAAATTAACATACACCCGATCATTAGAGATTTCACACACGCACAATATTGAATATAACATGCTTCCGAATACATATTTGTCACAAGTATTTGTTCCTCTCATGAAACTCAAATCCAAATTGTTAGCTTTTCGTAATGTGGAAATCGGATCCTATGTTTATTCAGAAACGTGGAAACTGATCAAAATTAGATTTTTGTAACGTGGCAATCTGATCCTAAAGTTATGTTGGAACTGGGCAACCCGATCCGAATTGTTTTGTTGAAACATGGCAATCTGATCTCCAAACAGACACCATAATCATAATCACAAGTATATCATCAAGATATTACATTTACATTATGATTTCATGGAAACGACATAATATGTCTCATTTACAACACGTTTGTCAATAATGCAACATTCACATATATACAAGTATCACAATGTATCAAGAATAAACATACATCACAAAAACATAGAATCACAACCATCACCTACCACAAGATATTTATCTAGCCTCATCCAAACCCTAATTCAACCATACTCAACCTAATTCATCGTCTAAGACTTTTTTATAAGGTTTAAACATGAATTAATTGGTGCACCAAGGCCTACACATACATCATACCATCAGTTCACATATATTACACAGTGGGCATCGATTTAAACTACTCAATTCATAAAACCTAGGATACCTGGGCGCCAACTAGTTGCACAGTGTTATTGTTCTCGATGATTACCTTGTGGGCATTCGTGACGGTGAATTTGACCGAGAATTCACAAGATTTAGCCATCCCCACTTTAGAAATTGTTTTTTCCTTTTCTCCCAAGCTTGGAGTAGATTTTGTGAGGCTTGTAAGGTGGTTTAAGACTTAATTAGGTATTTTAGGAAGGTGGATAAAATAGAATTTCTCGTAATTTCCGTGTTGCCTTGCCTATTCCATTCTAGCTCCAGTTTATCCCGCTCTGGATCTGACGCCCTAGTGGCATCCATCTTGTTCAAGCGTGACAAGGCCACAACTTTTCCTTGATTTTTGTCTTTCTTAAATAACGATGGTCCAAGTAAAATAATAAAAGAGTTTATAATTGTATTTATATACATATTCATTTGATATTTACATCTTAAAAAGGCTTTATACATGCATCTTTTATTGTTGCTTTCATATTTTAGTTAAGATGAGGTAAATATGTATTTCCATAGTATTAGGTTTGTTACCTATTGCTTTTAGTTTTTCCTTGCATGCTCGTACATTCAATGTACTAACATCATTTAACTCCATTTCTTCATGATGCAGATACATGTGTTTAAGATCATGAATATGTGCTTCGCTGATCCCATAAATTCAGCTAGTGTTGGTGAGCCTCCTTGCTTTCTGCAGGGAATCACTTATGGTTTGTTTATTGTTAGTTGTCGGGGGTTCTATTATAGACATCCATCATATTATTTAGAGACTGCATAGTCAATTGTAGTTGAGGATACATTTATCCATATTCCCTCGTTGATGTTTTAAAACTGGAGATGAACACCTATGTTTAATTGAGTATTTCAGATAGTTTTGAGTTAAACTACTTCATTAAAGAGATTTTATGAGATAATCTTTGCAATTCAGTTCCTATGTTGTTGAATAAGTCTTCCACTGAGTAAATGAGTCAAGACAAGGGCTCGCTTGGGGACTATGGATGGTTATCGAGTGTCGATCACGTTCAACATGTATACTCGGGGCATGAAAATGATCACTTCTTTTATTTAGTGTGTTAAGTATTTGCTAATACATTAATTCTGGACAAAAAGATTTTAAAAAAAGTATCTTGCCTAACAAATTTAGGCTAAGATTTCATGAAGTCAAGTTTCGTCAAAACTTTTATTAAAAGTTTTATGGATAAGTATTTGTCAATTAATAGGTGATAACTATTTTATATTTTGATAATTTAATAAAGTTTGATGTGATTTTTCTTAATTCTTAATCTTTAAATATAAAGTGATATTTTTATATAGTGTGGATTATTTTTAAATTTTTGAATATTTACGTTAAAAATAAAAGAACTTTGTAATGGACTATTAGATTAATATAAATACATGAAGATCGTTAATTCACGGCCAAATCTAAAACGAGCTCATACATAACCTTATATCTCATCAACCAAGATTTTTAAATATTTAACCTCTCATTTTAATACATTGATTTTTTTCAAGAGGCAGTTGATATGAGTTTTGACCAACATTTAGTTACAAGATATTTTTTAAACATTATATTAAAGTGAAAAAACCTATAACTTATACAACTTTTTGTATAGATTTTGAATATTTAAACTTTAATTTTATTAAATCAAATATATCTAATCTTATTTATCTTTTAAGAAATAGTCAAATTGACACTTAAAAGGTGAAATATCATGAGTAATTTAAAACAAAAAAATCCATTTAAAAATTATGTTCTACATCTCCATAATAAATAAGAAAGAAAATGATCACCATTTCAAAAAATATAATTAACCGTAATAAATCCATAAAAACTAACCATAGAGAAAGGCATTGTTAATTGACTTAATTTTAGTCCATAAAATAACAAAAATGGTGTTAAACACTTATACTATGATTTAATAAAGGAAATGCATTGTTTCAAATTTATTTTGAAAAAGAATTTATACTTCATGTCCATTTTAGTATAGAACCTCTAATCGTTATTATGAATCATAATTTTATTTAGTGCTCTTATATCCATCTTACTTTCATGCACCAAATCTATCCTTTTACTATTCAATTTATTTTAAATAATTTTGAGGGTTGCTTTCAAGTTTTCACAACTTTTCTATTGAATGAAGAGGTCATCCGAAAAAGCTTCAATGGATTTGTATAATATAGCTATCAACTTTCTCTTATTTTCTTCAGTCTCACTTATCAAGTGTGTACAATGTCTTTGTATGGTAGAGTTATATTTCATCTGATGCTTGTATTTATTTATCTAATTATGTAAATATTATATGAAATTATTTGGAATACACGTATAACACATGTGTCCAGAAGCTAGTTATGGATAAAAAGAGGAAGTATTTGCCTATGTCTACACCTTATGTACCATAGATGCACTAGGAGAAATTTCTTTCACTTCATCCTAAGCTAATGCAAATTGTTTACTACATTGAATGGAGTATACAAAAAATTTTGAAGGGCTCTAATATGTCCAACACAGTAGTCTTCCTTTTCATTCACTCTTCTGAAATCGGCACATGGAAGCCATAAAGAAAAGAAATAGGGACTACGCAACAGATATTCAAAAACATACCTAGATTTACAAAAGGAGTTAAGGGAGGATGACCTTATTCTAGAGGCAGAGCCAGGATTTTCATTAAGGAAAGGCAAAATATAAAGAAGTGAATAGTAAAATGTGTGTAGTTTTAGTTATCTAAAGAAAAATATAATGTATGAAGTCAAAAACAAAAGTATTAGTTTCATAAGGGTGGAACACATGTCATTAGGAAAGTATTGCAGCTTCTTAGCGATTTCACTACACCTTCAATATGTATCGAAAGGTATCAACACTTGGGAAGTAAAATAAAAATATCAAGAAACACTTGTAACAAACATGCTTGTTCTCTCAATAGTTTATTATACGTCTTATATTATTTTTTAATTGATTTTCCTACATATTACACATGGAACACGTGTGCCCATGTACTAGCGTGATTACAAGGATCAAGCAAACATTTGTTCTAACTAACAGAATCCTAAATTGCATTTAAAAGCACTAGTGTATACTAATTAAGTAGTTGTACAACTTAAACATTTAATTCAATGCCCATTATATTAATACTAACATGTGTTTGTTGGAATACTTATTCATCAATTTTCTTCTTCTCCTCCTCCTCCTCTTTATTTTTTCATTTTTCGTCATCATTATCATCCTCATCTTTTCGCTTCATTTTATTAAATGTCATTGAGGTGGACTGAGCACTATAATGAAAAGAATTGAGTCATGTCAAATATACAAGAAAAAGATATATGAACATCTAACAAGAGCTAAACTTCCTTTCATACTTTCTCTAGATATTCTAATATTTCTCTGTTTTCTTCTAGCCAATCATAATTAGGTTTGCCAAGAAAAGGAAATCACACCATAAGTATAGACGAGGTAATTTATAATCAAAGAACTTCATATAGGCTCATTAAAGAAGCAGTGTAATCTTGCAGTTGCTCAACTCTGCTTGAATCTTCTCAATTGTTAGGTTATGAGATGTTCTGGTACCAACATTAAATACTCCCAGTTCATTTTGGTCCACCAATCCTCCTTCGACTAGATTAGGTTTAGAATTTGGTTCTGAAATTCCCATTAGATGAGCAGCTACAGCAATAATATAACACCTGAAATAGAAAAGAGATAAAAAAATTAAAACACTAGTTCAATTGAAAGACAATCCGCACAAATGCATGGAAATTAACCCAACACAAATAAGAGCCCACAGCTGTAATTCATAGATGTATTCCTTGCAAAAGCACTAAAACCCTACTAATGGTTGAACCTCATCTTACCCTTTTATGCTTAACCCACCAATGATATACCTAAGAAATTTAATTCTTTTCTTTTTCTAACAAACCTTCAACTTCCTCCAAACTCAATAGCAACAACATGCTTGAGCTTCTTTTCTTTTTCTAACAAACCTTCAACTTCCTCCAAACTCAATAGCATCAACATGCTTGAGATCATCAACCCCAAATATATTTCATAAATAATCAACTAGTTCATATAGTGTAACCAGCATGAAAAAAACAAAGAAATCATAAGGTGTTTTCTTTCAGGAAGGTTTTTGCCTCTAAGTGGTCTGAACAATCAAAAACTGAGGATGAAACTGAAAACAAAGAATTGCAGCGTAAATTAAGAAAACATGAGGGACAAGTGAGAGTTTATGGGAGGAGGAAAATGAGAAATTCAATTCTCATAATTTAAAGTATACCATAGGTTTTCCTAACCATTTACCTTATGCTATAGCTTGATTTCATATCGTTTATACATTGCTATCTTAGTAAATTTTATGTAGTATTACGTAGTTGTTCCTACATTTTTTCATTAATGTAGGGACGGCATTCCTACCTTACATACTCATGGATAATTGATATCTCTCTTGGCATTTGAAGATTCGTAACTCTTGTGTTACGAAGAGAAAGACACTTTTATATTTTTCTCTATTTAAATTTCCAAACACTGGTTGTGGTATATGGGTTATGTCCCAACCACTTTTTTTGATGGAGTATATGCAAATGCTTCTTTTGAAATCTTTAATTGTCTTTATGCATAATGTATGATAAGTTTCTTATGTAGGGAATTTCAGGGTTCTACATGTCATGTTGCACCTAGCGTATACTTTGGATCGTGACAAACTTGGTATTTTGAGCACAAGGTTTACAAAGACGATGTATCACAAACCAAATTTAGTAGAATCTTGTTCACTAGTGTGACTCATGCCACATTTATATATAGGAGGTTATATGAGGCTGAGAAAATTTCACTTCTTTCATCGTTCTAAAGTTGTGCGATAGAGTATTGATGTAACATGAACATATGATATTTTTAATGCATTAAACTTAGTGTTTTGCGTAAATATTAAGAATTTTATTATTAGATATGATGGTATTTTTGGTGAAATTTGTATGGATTAGGTTTTGGAGCAGTTAGTATTCAAATATCGAAAAAGCAGGAATTTTGGAGAATGATGAACCAACTGACGAGTTGTCATTCCTTTGATGAGCCATAAATGGAATGTGTGGGGGAAGTCACCTCAGAAAATGGAACTTAGTGTTGAGCGATGGAATCAATTAACGATCCATAGTCTTCGCTCTAAACTGCTCAGGAGGAGTCATAGAAAACTTCAGGATGGATGAGTTTCGGTCCATGAACTACGAATGAACGGGATGGGCCGTCAATAGACTAATAGACCGTAGGTCAGGCCCGTCGATGGCACTCACTAGAACATTTTTTAGCAGATCAACAACGAAGGCACCAATAAGTCTTCGTTCTTTCGATAAGTTGTGGGGGGCAACAATAGATGACAATGCTTAAGACTGGATTTCCTTAGTCTTCCTTTAAATACTTGGTTTAGGATTAGTTTTTTCTAAGTATTAGTTGTAGATTTCATTTTTAGGTTGTTAGACATTTCTTTTGGAATTATATTGCAAACACTATTAGCATTAAATTCTTAAAGTTTGGTCTATGTAATTTGTATTTGTTCTTCGATTCATGATTTCAGATTTCTATTCTAATTGTAAGTTCATCATTTATACTATTAACCTTATTAAGAATTGTGATAACTCAAGCATAAATAACTTAATTTTTAACTAGAATTGTGGGAACAATGAGTAATTAACAACGTAAAACTAATAATTAAATAATTCTGAAATATTGTAAATGGATTCATTGTTAATATCTTTGTTTTGAATGCTTTGTAATGGTACGCAACATTAGAACTTGCCTCACTCCTACTTGCCTGGCCAAGGAAGTAATAAATGAAAAGGATATTTAACCACCAAGATTTAGTGTGATAATCCACTATCTAATAGCCTGACCCACCTACCGTGAGGGATAATTTGGAGTTAAGGGTAAGGGTTAGTAAAGCATACACCCGTAGACCGACCAAGTTGCATGGTGTATTTCCCTACTTGGACGACAAATCACTTAGGATATACATAACATACTAACCTTACATGTTCACACTAGGTAAAAGTTACTATCACTTGTCCTAGTTTCATCTCATAATAATATTACAAACAGTGAATCATGTTGACTTGTTACATTAAATCAATGAATCATGTTGACTTGTTACATTAAATCAATTAATTATTACTTTATTTATAAATTCTACCTTTACAGAAGTAAATATGACTAAAATTAGAAATAAAGATAAATTAGCCTAAGTCTAAACCTTCCTTGTGGGATCGATCCGAACCTCTATTAGGATCATTATTTGATGCTATCGCTTACACTTATTTTAGAGAGGTGTAATTTGGGTGTATCAACAGTAACTCTATATGTCTCTCTCCTACTTCTCATTTGATGGTTTTTAGGATATGGATCATTAAAGAGAAGAGGTTGGAAGAAATGCAGTTGCAAATATGTAACAAGATGATCCACAAGTTCCGACCAACCTATTGACCAAACAAGTGACTAATAAATAATTTTGAGTCGCTTTTCAAGTGTTAGATTAAGCTTATGGCTGAAGCCAATACAGATTTTGTGGCCCTAGTGAATACAACCATATCGTACGACACAAACTAGAGTATGGGACTTCACTAGAATAAATACCTTGAAATTTTATGGCTCTAAGATTGAGGAAGATCCTCAAATGTTCATTGATGAGTTGCATAAGGTTTTTATCATCATAGGAGAAACGCTGGTGGAAAATTCACAATTGGTCGCTTATCATAAAGTTGCTTTCCGTGATCGGTTTTTCCCTTGAGATATGGGAGACCAAAGTACTTGAGTTCATTGAACCTTTCCAAGGGAATATTAGTGTGAAAGACTATACTTGGAAATTCACACAATTTCTAAATATGCTCCTTTTATGTTTGTTGATTCTAGGCGAAGGATGAATAAGTTTGTTTTAGAAGTGTCTGAAATGGTGGTTAAGGTATGTTGTACCATCATGCTAATTAAGGAAATGGATATTTCCTATTTGAGAACACATGATTAACAAATTGAAGAAGATACTCTTAAGGAAATATCTAGGGAGGAAAAGAGGCCAAGACATGTAAAGGTGATTTTTCACATTTGAGGTCCGATGGACATAGTCAATCTAGATTCTCACAATGGTTCTGCAGTCTAGGTTCCTCTAATTCTCCGGTTCTAATGTTCAACAAGGAAATGGTGGTGGATAATCTTTTTCTACTCTTTCTAGGTGTTGAAGGAATCATGATAGTAAATGATTAGTTGGTATAGATAGTTGATTTAGTTGTGGTAAGAGTTGGAAGGAAAAAGGATAGTAAATGCTTAGTCGGTACTGATAGTTGATTTAGTTATGGTAAGAGTTGTAAAGAGATGAGGGATTGTCCATTGTTTTCTACTAAAATAAGATATGGTAGCCAAGCTACACCCAGTAGTTTGGGTTCAAGTGCTCCGAAAAAAACCTATTTTATCCACTTCAAACTTGACATGATCACAAGGGTTCTTCCTATGTAGTTACTGGCATGTTGAAATTCTTTTATATTAATGTTTATGCTTTGATGAATATCGCTGCTACTTTGTCTTTTGTGATGCCATATGTTTCGATGAGATTTGATGTTTACCCGAATATGTTGTTAGACCTTTTTCTGTCTTTATTCCTTTTGGTGAATTTATCGTTGCTGATAGAGTCTATAGAAATTGTCACGTCTCCTTATCCCATAGAGTAACTTATGTTGATCTGGTACAACTTGATATGTTGGATTTTGTTGTTATTCTTTGTATGTATTAGCTCAATTCATGTTAGGATTTTGTTTATTATAAAACCCGAGTGGTTAAGTTTCACTTTCAAAATGAGCCCGTCCTAGAGTGGAAATAGGGAAATCCTACGCCTCAGGGCCATTTTTTTATCTGGTCTAAAAGCTAGAAAAAAGATTTCTAAGGGTTACATATACCATCTTTTTCGGGTTAGGGATACAGATTTTGAAACCCCTACTCCTGAGCCAATCCCCATTATATATGAGTTTCAAAAGGTGTTTACAAATGATCTACTCGGTGTCCTTCTTTCAAGGGAAATAAACCTCAATATTGACCTTCTCCCACATATGCAACCTATCTCTATTCCTTCTTAACATATTGTATTAGCAGAACTTAAAGAATTAAAGGAGCAATTGAATTATTTATTAGATAAGTTTTTCGTCCGACAGAGTATCTTCATAGGATGCTCCAGTTTTATTATTCATAAGAAGGATGGTTCACTTCACATGTGTATTGATTGCCAAATATTGAATGAGATTATTATGAAGAATAAGTTTCATCTTCCAAGGATTGATTATTTGGTTGACCAACTCCAAGGAGTGAGCTAATTCTCTAACATTTACCAATGGTCGGGTTATCGCTAATTGAGGGTGAAAGAAAATGCCATTATGAAGATGTCTTTTGGAACTCGATAGGGTTTTTATGAGTTTCTAGTATTGGCATTTTGTTGTACTAATGCTCAAACTCATTCACGGACTTATTAAATAAAGTGTTAAGCAATAACTTGATATGTTTGTGACCGATATGGTGATGTTTATGGCTCATTTATACAACGAAAGGTACTTTAATGATTCAAACTCTTTTTTGTTGGAAGAAGTTTGGTGTTTCTTTCTTCGGCATGCCCTAGATTTTGTAAAGTATATAGCTAAGAATCTTTGGAAAGATTAAGAGATATTTCAAAGTAAGGATCAACCTTAGTCACTTTCACCTATTATAATATGGGTTGTGTTCATTGAGAACTTGAAGTTTAACACTATCCAATGTATGTTTGGTTGATCTGCCAAAATTTTTCAACAATGACATGACTCATAGAATTTAGTTTGCTAATTATAGAAAAAAGAGATGTATTTCTATCTTTCTACGCCTTATAGAAACTTACACTTTTTAAACTTATCACTGATAATGTTACGGCAGGCACAAAAAGACCAGCTGCTTAGGCCCCACTAGCCCATGCGAATTCAATCTATATACCACTACTTGTAGTCCAGTAGCCCCACTGGAAATCACATAGCCCTCTTATTTATCAATATATCCCCGTAGGAAAGATTTCATAGCCTCTTAGGCAACAACCTATCCCCATAACAAAAGAATGCATGGCCCTCTTAGGCAAGGCAAAGATCTCATAGCCCTCTTAGACAACACCATAGACCCATAAGCAATAATCACGTAGCCTCCTTAGGCATCAACATAGAAAAATAAACTAAGATCACAGAACCCTCGTAGTCAAAAATATAGCCACATAGGAAAAGAACAAAATCCTGCAACTATCTACAATAGCCCCAAGGAAAACAATAACAATTCAATAGACTGAAATTGAGGAATTTAGTTATAAAAACCTATACGAATAATTTCTATGTTATGCCCAACATAGGATCGCTACCAACAAAATAAGAATCCCATAAGGGAGGAATATAACAACTCTACTTGCCAACTTGTAACAATTATGGCTATGAGTACACCATCGATAACAACAATCTCCTTACATTGCTCACAACTTTAATATTAAAAGAAAAGAATAGTCTCAACATACCTTTTTTGATGAATTCCAGTGTCTAATAAACTTCTGATATCGGAAACCCCCTTGAAACTACAATATGAAATTACCATAATTAACATATAAGAATAGAAGGTAACACGATAATCCGATAAAGGATACAGATTTTCGTCGCAGCTTACGATTTGTGGCTTATCAAAGATAGAATCAAAGAAAGGATGGAATTACCTTGATATTAAGATCGAAATGCAGATCAATCGTTTAAACACAAAAAGACCTATGCTGGAACAACCACCACGGAGGTACGTCACACAATCCACAAAGAAAACTATACCAAAATGTCAAGCTCGTGACGTAGAGCAACTGTCGTTAAAGATATAAAATGAAATTATCAATGTATATGAGTGATTAAGGGTATAACTATCTGATTTTGGTGGGTTTGAACAAACTGGAAAGGAATTAGAATGAAGAAAATAGGATCTTGTAGCCTTACACCGACCTAGGGGCCACTAGACACCTGTTTCGCAAAGTCATTACATACACGTGAATATCTATCTACTCTAAAGCTTTATGGACAAAAAGTTGATGTTTTGGAAACTAGAATCATAAACCTTCGATATGATGTCGTGGGTCCCATTACTCTTTATATAGTAGGAGAAAAGGTCCGAGACATTTGACCAAATTTAAGAGAAATCATTAAAACTGAACTTGCGATAACTTTTGCCATTTTTTTTATTTTGCAACATGCTTAATTTAAAACTTGAGATACAACCATTGAACACTTAAAATATGACATTACACATCATTCTTAATTTATTTATCATTTTTTGCCTTACCTCTAAGGTATGTTTTAATCTAGGCATTTTGAAAGGGAGGGATATTGCAGTTTTCCATTTAAGATTTGATATTTTTGTATAAAGTTAAATTGAATTTATGTTGGTACCTAAAGAAAAAAATAAACCCTCTCTTTACTGATAAAGAAAGAAAAGATTGTGTTTTCTTAATATGGAGAATGTATTGGTTCTTTATTTAATCATATCATCATATTATATTATATTCATACATTACTAAAAGTGGGAAGAACCTAACTCAAAGTTGAATTATCATTACAACCATATTCTATATTAAATCATATCTAATTAATTGAACATTAATAAAGTAATAACTTATATAGAAATTATAATGCTAATCAATTAAAATGAAAAGTCACTATTTTAGGCGGAATTCGTCGCATGTGCCAGCATTTAGTATAATCTTTGACAGTAATAAATCCATTGTTTTTTTAGATGTTTTCATCTTCCAACTAAAAATTAGTGGAAAAGTTGTAAACATGGGTGATGAAGAGTTGTATAACATACGAAAGGATGAAGAGTCGTGTAGTATGTTGAAGAACCATTTATTTTTATGAACGTATTCAGCTTTAATTTAACCAAATTATTCAATGCTTTTGTTTCTTGCCATCTTTAATATAATATTATTTCTTTCTGAATCCATTCAAATTCCCTTAAATTCTTATATAAAATCTTAGATAAAACTTTCCACTTTATTTAATTTTCTTTTTCCTATTTAAGATCCATCATTACCAAAAGAAAATGACATTTCTATCATTATAAAAGAATGATTTTGGTGATTTCTCTGGAATATTAGTGTTCAGTGCATATTGCCTAATGTCTCTCATACTTGTGTACGTTTCTGTCTTTTCTCATTATCAATTATTAGTATATGTTTTTAAAGATAATAATTTTTTAATTTAAGAGTAACTACTCATATATATTATTCTTAAGTAACTTAAGTACATGTGTAATCATGTATTATGTTTTGTTTGAATAATAAAGATTTGATACATGTGTAATCATGTATTATAGTAAAGAAATGTTTCTCCACGACGCCAAATATTATTCTAATATTTTTCCTTTTCTAAGTAAAACTAAGATCAATAGCATATATATTGTGTTGCTTATTTTGAATGAATTTATTAAATTTGAACCTACTGTTAAAAATAATAACTCTATGATTATATAAAATTTTAATTATCCTCAATCATATCGCAATCTCTATATTACACTCTTTTGTAGTTTAATCCCGCAAATAAAATGATTTTCATTTAATCAAATATAATTTTGTAAATTAAAAATTCAAGAAATTAAAATAACATATAATTTAACAATGACGGATTAGATTAATGATTTGTTTTAAAAAATTTAAACAAATTCTATAAAAAAAATTAATATATTATTTTAAATTAATAGGATAAAGTAGAGTTACATTACTTATCAAAGTAAGAGAAAAAGTACACCTATTATCTCGTTTAAAGATATATAATAATTCATGATCTAATTGTTTTTTATCAAAGGAAAAAAATATTCTCATAAAATTATCCTTACAAAAATATACTCTTTGATAGTAAAATTGTTTTAACAGTTATTCATTTCTCCATTTCATTAGGATGCTTCTTTTTTCTATAACATATTTTCCAAATAAACATCAGTTTTCCTAAAACACAAATAGACAAATAAATAGTTGTGGAGAACGTGAGCAAATATGTGGGATAGTTTCAAAAAAAATTATATATATATATATATATATATATATATATATATATATATATATGAGATGGTCATTGTCCGTGCTAAGCACGAGCCCAACATTTTACGTTTATAATTTTAGTGTTGAAAATGACAATAAAGAAAAAGAATGATAAAAATTGTAAAGGAAGGAACAAAAATTGGCAACCGCGTAAACATAAAGTATGTGCTTATATGATTGAAAGTACACTTGAGTTGTATATCGAAAGAGTTATATGTGAAGAAGCTTCAAAAATAACATATTTACATGAAGTCTGAAGATAAGCAACACAAATATGTTAAATTTAACAAGATTCAAAAATGAATTAATGAGAAGATGTGATAGTTAAGAAGATAATTCTCCATTGGTACGTTAGTCAAGATAGCATCGTTTGTGGGTAAAATTTAGGTGAACCATAAAATGGTTTTATAAGGTAAATCTTGACATTTTGACAAATTGTGATCTCATGGATGACATCAATAAAAAGAATTCACTCCTATAAATAGGTGGCTCCTAATTCATCTGTAGAACACCTCTCATTTGTCATCTTCATCTCCTATCACATTTGTTCTTCTTTCTTACTTGTATTATTTCACCTATACTCTTTTGGAGTGAAATAAATAATTGGTTGGTTGTGTCCGAGGAGTACGCAAAAAAAAAAATTGTCGAACCTAGTTAATTCGTGATATTCTTTTTATTGTTGTCTCATTTACTATTCATCAACTACCTTTAGATATAGTAATTGTGATTCTATCACTCTCTATGTATTAAGCTTCCGCAACACACACATTTACTTTATATATAACATGTATTTCTATGTCCAATAAGTATAGTCATTTCGTGTTATCACAACAGAAGAACGCCTTCACGGTATTATTGGCCTTCCACATATCAAAAATAAAATGCAAGAAATGACTAAAAAGAATTGCTTAAGTAATCCTTAGAGACATGAGTAATTTGAGAATTGGGTTGTCTTGAGACATCTCACAAGTCATCTCACCTTTCACAAAAGCACAATGAGATTGAAGTTTCTTAAATTAAATAGATATGTCACAACACTATGAAATGGATGACATAAGTCAAACACAACATAGATTTTTGTCAACAGAAAACAATGTTTCATTCCTGACCAACTTCATCACCATGTGCTGTTGTATCCTTAGAAAACGAACAACAATCCAAGAAACTGTTAATAATTTTTGTCCCAAATACCTTTCCTCTAATTCCACTTCTTAACCATCATAAGTCATTGTTATCGTACAGATGACGTAAGAAACCTTAGATATTTTCTCAATTGCAATGGATAACTGACAAACAGGAAAAAAAATTGAATAACGTAGAACTTACCTCAATATTCTTTCTTTCAAAAGAATCTCGTCCCAATCTCAAATATATTGATTTCTTCAGATTAATCTAATCTTTCTTTTAAATAGATCAACATCATGCGATGTTAATACAATAAACAAAAAAAAATCAACTTTCCAATTAAACTGTAACTTATAAACCAACTAAAATATTATAATATTAACATAACATATTCAAAAACTCGAGGGGAAAATTTTGCTCCAATCTTTTTAAGTCACAAACCTATAGAGTAATTGCACACCATCTATTATATTTCAATTCTTTAATGATGAACATATGGGTTTTCCAAATAGATCTCAAAAGACTTGTATAATCTCAATATGAAATAATGGTAAGCTTGTTTTTTCCAATAAGTTATCGCAATCTTAAGATCTTCTTTATAAAAATGACAAGTTGGAATACGTACTTCGAAAATTTTAAGCACATTAATCTTTTAAAGGGCAACAAAACCTAAGGTAGAAGGTCCCAAAATTTTACTTCCTCTAACACTTGAAATATCAAAATGAAGCTACCACTAACAGACTCTCAAGTAACTGTCTCAAAGACCTCAAGCAGAAGCTACTCTTTTTTTCCTTGGAGTTGCTTCAGTACGTTCTCTGAAATTGTCCAAGAACCTGCGATGGACATTATAAAGATACCTCATGTGGCAAGTTGTAGTTGTCTTTTTCTTTGAATTGCTTTCAAACTCCAATTGTATGTCCTTTTACGGGCAGCATGGTATGCACAACTAGAGCAATGACTCTTCTGGAGATGGAATCTCTATCTTCCACACCCCACACGTTGTATGTGGGTCTTGTTCCTCCTCTTACCAAAGCTTCATGTTCCCTCACCTATTACGCAATAGTTGCAGAAACCCTAGCGACCTCCTCCTGAGCTTTCTCAACTAGGAATAATAGTAAGCTCAATATGAAAAACTGGCTAAAATGACTGAGAGAGACCATTGGGATAAGATCTATTTCAGTTATAGCTTTGCCTCTCTATTCTATCAGACTGGAAAGCCTTTTGAAAGAAAAATAAAAACTTTAACATTGTCCGTGTTGGATTCTCCAAAGACACACTACTTTCACCAAATTCGACTTGCACTCATTGATATCTTTGAAGAGTCAAACCAACATAAGTGAAAACTGAATAAAAAGATGAGTCCTTTGAAAACGGACTCACTCCTCTAGCACATGTAATGATTAAAAGTAATCACGTAGTTTCATCAAAGATGATAAAGATGCAGATCATTTAGGAGACAGGGTGTTTGAGTCAGTTAATAACAAAACTGCAAATTCACAATGAGCTACGATCTCAATAAATTGTCCTAGAGAATGAACGAATGTGTTAAGGACTTACCTTCACGTATGCACATATTGAAATCAACCTTATATTCTGTCAAGAAATCAAGTGATGTTGTATGGCAAAGGAACTCATGTGGTTGGTTAATGTCCTAAATTTCTTGTCGTGGGAATATATAGAAGTTATGTCTTCCAAAGAGAAATCAAAGGGACAGATTTGGGAATTCAAAATGTAACCGATGAAGACAATCTATGATGCTTGTTCTATTCCCCTTAGAAAACACAATTATTCTACACATATTGAATTGAATTCCCCAAA